AAGAAATATAAGACGAAGGAAATAAATAAACCAGTGGAGTTTCACTGCCTGCAAACAGTTGTTGGAAGGTGACTGCTTACAAAAGAAATATAAACGAAGGAAATAAATAAACCAGTGGAGTTTCACTGCCTGCAAACAGTTGTTGGAAGGTGACTTCCTTCAGAAAAAATATAAAACGAAGGAAATAAATAAACCAGTGGAGCCAAATAAAGCAACTTTACCTCCTGACGTTGATATTCCACACACACACCCATTATAGTAGTAAAAGCTGAAATTACTAATTTAATATCAGTTGTACAGTAGACAAATTATACTAGTATGAAAACCCAACCAAGTTATCTGAACTAGTATAAGTTTCAGCTTCGTAACTACTAATTTTTAGATTTTATCTACTCTTTAGAAGAGCTTTTATGTTTATGTGTAACATTGGTGTTATCAAAAACTAAACAATTTTCATCTGCAGGTATTGAGTAGTGACGTAGGTGTGGAACGTTGTGGGTTTGAGCATCCACATCTCTCCAAACTTATTCTTGTTTTTCTTACTTACTTTAAGTTTTTTTTTACTCGTCTTTCTTCAACATGTGAGACTAACGAAGACTGGTAGACGGTGTATCTCCACCGCTATGTGGGTCCTACTTCGGCATTCACCTCCAGAACCCAGGGTACATTTTATGATAGCCTGTGTTCTGGTGATCTTTTTTAACGTATGCAACGTTTTTGTTGCACTTGTTAAAGCATGTATAGATAATTAATATATATTATATAGAGAAGGGGGGGGGGGCGTGTTTCTTATATATAGACATTTCCATAGTTTTGCTAGGCAATCTTTCATTGGTCATTTAACGTAAGTAACTTTTTTTTTCTTTTTTTTTCCATTTTACCAGAAAGAGTTGAAAAGTCTCGTGCGCGGGGGAATTCCTTCTCATCTTCGACATCTTGTATGGAGCGCTCTCTGTCGACAAAAACTGAAAGATGTGATAATTGAAAAAGGATCTCATTATTATAATAACCTCTGCAGTTTGGCTCCCGAATCTGAGGTATTTAGATATTATTATTTTTTTTACACATTTTGATTAACTATTTAGAAATTCAAGTTTGTAGTCAAAATTATTTTTATCTTTTTTTACGGCCATTTTTTATTCTATGCCGTGTTTAGTATGTTTGGATGTTTAATAACAGATAAATACTCATTTTTTTTTCCGAAAAGGTGGTTTCCGAAAACAGACGACAAATAGGATTAGACCTGTTACGAACTATTCCAAGTAACGTTCGTTTCAGTGACCCGAATGCTGATGGGGTAAGCAAATAAAACACACCATATACTAAAATCGTACAGTATGTAACATATATTTATTATTCAAAAAGTTTTTTCATATTAAAAGCCGACTGGATTCAATGTTTATTTTTGTTATCTTTTAAAGGATAAAGTGGCATGTATTTAACAATAAAATAATAGCAGGGATCGTTTAACCGACATTTTAAAGACAAATAGTAGTCACCTTTGTAAACAATTCATCCTCTCAATGATGAAAATCATGTTGTTATTATTTTCTGTAGTTTCATAAAGTCAAAAATAAGCGACGGGAGTAAGGGTGGTTGTAATTTGATGACGACGTTATATTATAGATATAGACTACTCGTCCTAGTAGTGTCACCTGTTGTCAACTTGATAAACTATTTTCGTGCCCTACATAAATGTCTCAATTATATTTTATTATTATTACACAAATATTTTAAAGAATGATTTCCGGCCCGGGGTTGGGAGTTGGGAGGGGGTTACTAATATAAGTTTATTATTTACTGTTTTAACAATAGACATTCTTAACAAAAGGCCTGGCATGGCCAGGTGGTTAAGGTGCTCGACACGCAATCTGAGGGTCGCGGGTTCGAATCCCCGTCACACCAAACATGCTCACCCTTTCAGCCGTGGGGGCGTTATAATGTGACGGTCAATCCCACTTATTCGTTGGTCAAAAGAGTAACCCAAGACGTTGGCGGTGGGTGGTGATGACT